GACAAGCCTTTTACGGCTCCATCCTGCACCCCACCCTGGCTGTGCAGCGCTTGCCCCTGCTCCAACTCCACTCCCTCCCTCACTGCTGGGGCCTCAATCTACCCCCCATCCCCATGCCCTCAGAACGGATTTACCAGCCAGACCTGGCTGATCTCAATGCTGCCAGGTGCGCTCCTGGCTGCCTGCGTGCTGAGCTGCGATTGCATGCATGCACGGGGCATTTATCGGCAACATTATAGGCCACATCAGCCAAAAAAAGCCGGTTGCTAATACTGTCAATTTTCCTTATATCGGTGCTGATCTGATATGGGACCAATGTATCAGTGCACCTCTAATATATTTAAATCGTAAGTCAGTTATAGGTACGCATAAGTTAAATTGCACTGTCCACAATACATTACACCATTGACTTATACCAATTGTTGACAAGTTATCTGATTTGGATTCTTTGCGACACATTGAATATTATCTTCACTTAGAGTATAGACCGGAGCCCACAGTCAGATGGAGTTTTTTTTCCATTGCATTTGAGCATGTCCATTGCATTCTGGTAGCATGGGCTCACATGTGCAGTTTTAGCATCAAGGTCTATTAGACAAGAATCCAGAAATCTGATCAAGTTAGATTCAACTGATGGATTGGAGGTTGACCCAAAGGAGGAAAGGGAGAGATGTTAATACTCCTACTTAGATGAGGAAGTAAATCTCCTGGCTTCCTTTGAAAGCCTTGCCACCTGAAGAAAAAAAGAACATCTTGGCTCGCTTGAGAGTCCTTTAGGAGGACTTAATTAAAATAAATCAGGAAGGACAGAATGACTTTCAGACCAGTAAAATGAATCAACATTTACAAGACAGGAAGGAGGCAAGGGAAAAAACAGATCACTGTGTGGTACAATCTTAGCCAACCTGAAGAGCTAGTTACTCTCCCTCTTATCCAACCTGAAGAACTAGTTACTAAGAGGTCCAGGTTAATTACCCTTTGCAAGAGTAATATTGAGGAACCAATTCATTGCCAGGAGCTTAACAGAAGAGATAATGTTTCTATATTACTTGACAATAGAAAACATAGCAGCATCTAGGTCTAACTTTATAGAAACCAGATTGCTTCTTTCCTTCTTTTAAACTTCTCCACACGGCCTGCCTCCGCTGCGATGCCTAAAAATCACTTCCATTTGGTACTGGTCAGGCACATGAGGAATGTGATTGTGCTTTTCTATTCAGCTTTGTTAATTTTATGACCTTTTCTTCCCAACTTCCCCTGCCATATGTGTGCACCATGTAGACTGTAACTAATTTGGGGGTTGGGACCGTCGTCTTAATTACATGTCTGGACAGTGCCCAGCACAACAGAGCCTTAACCCTCTGTGACTATCTTTGTAATATAAGTTTTTAATATACCATCACTTGAATATTTGTGAAAAGCAAAAGCAGCAGGAGAGACATGAATGTGGCTGGAGATATTGAGTGACCACCCAGTTAATGGCTTAAGTTTATTGCTACTGAAGAATTCAATATCTTCCATGTTTCAGCGGTGTTGGTTGTAGCTGTGTTGATTTAAGGACATAGGCAGATAAGATTCTTGGAATAAGTGTGATATATTTTATTAGAAAAACTAAATAGTTGGAAAAATTGTTCTTTGCAAACTTTTGGGCACGAACACCCTTCTTCAAGAGTAGGGAGATTCTGCTGTTGTTTTGAGTTCTCCTGGATGGAATAGAAGTCAATATGCAGAATGCTGCTCTGTGCAAATGCATATGCGTAGCAGTGAGGATCAGAGGCTGTAAGAGACAGGTAGGTGGGAGGGTAGGAGGGAAAGGGGGGAATGTTGACCTGGTAATAGAATAGAATGTAGCTGGTAAAACGTAGAGAGGTTATGTGGGGTTATCGGACGGCAGGAAAGTTATAATGTGCCATAAATCCAATGTCTATATTTAGTCTATGGTTTTTTGTATCCAGTAGATTTATGAAGTGAAGTTTATAGGCTCATCTATGAAAGATGGTTTGTAAATTCCCTTTGAGGATTAGAACTGAGAGATTGGAGAGAGAGCGGTTGTCTTGTGAGAAGTGTGCACCCACAGGTAATTGGGTATTCTTGTCTTTGATAGATTTTTGATGTGCGTTCATTCTGGTACGCAGGTGTCTGCTGCGTGCCAGAATGATGGTACTACATATTTTCCATCAGGGTATTTAGTGCACTGGATGAGATGTATTACATTTCTGGAGGTGCAGGTGTAAGAGCCAGGAATGGTAATGGCTCTGTTGTGGAGTGTAGTTGTTGTGGGATTAATGGAGATGTGTTGGCAGGTTTTACATTTTTTGTCCCGGCATAGTCTCGATTCATATATGTGTTTTGGGCTGTAGGAAGTTTGCTTCTGGTGATGAGATTGGCAAGGTTTGCTGCTTATTTAACGGCTAGGATGGGTGGTTCTGGGAAGATCTCTTTAAGGTTTGGGTCTTCTTCCAGTATGCATTGCAATTGTTTGAGGATTTTCCGTATAGGTTCCAGGGAAAGATGGTATGTCATAACTAACAGTGTGCAATTCGTGAGGATTTTCTTTTTGTATTGCAGCAATTCCGCATGTGGTATCCGGGTGGTTCTTTTGGAAGTGCAATCTATCTCTCTGGAGGAGTGTCCTTGTTGAGTGAAAGCCCTTTTGAAATTTGTGAGGTGACGATTGTGGGTGTTCTCCTCAGTGCAAATTCGGTGGTATTGGAGGGGCTGTCTGTAAATTGGTTTTTTCAGTGTGTTTAGGGTGGTTGCTGGTTCTGTGCAAATATGTATGTTGGTCCATGGGTTTCTTGTATATGGTGGTTTGTATTTTACCAGTCTGGATACTGATCCTAGTGTCTAAAAGGAAATGTTGGTGCTGGAGTATTCAAGAGAGAGTCTGATGGAGGGGTGATGCTTATTGATTTTGTGTTGGAAATCAATCAGAGATTGCAGGTTTTTGGTCCAAATGATGAAGAGGGCATCTATATATCTTAAGTATACCATGGCTTTGATGGTGCAGTTCTTATGGCATTTTTCTTCCAGGTGGTCCATAAAAAGGCTGGCATGTTGTTGGGGCCATTTTGATGCCCAGAGCTGTGCCTGTGGTCTGGAGGAAGTGTTGGTTATTGAAAGTGAAGTTGTTGCGTGTGAGGATGAAGTGTGTAAGTTTAGTAGTATCTTTAGGTTTGTATTCTGAGTTGTAATCTTGTTCTTGTAGATATGTAAGGCAGGTTTGGATGCTATCCTGGTGTGGGAAGTTGGTATATAAGCTGGTAACATCCATGGTGGCTAGGAGGGTATTGCTGGGAAGGCGGTCTGTATTTTTAAGTTTTTGTAGAAAGTCTTTTTTGTCTTGGACAAAACTCGCTCTTTGGGTGACAAGAGGTTTTAGGATGGATTTGATGAAACCTGATATTTCCTCAGGGTTCCATGGTTGGATATTATAGGTCTGCCTGGGTTCCCTTGTTTGTAGATTTTAGGGAGCATCTAAAAAGTCCCTGAGTTGGGTATGGGTAGGGATCAAGTTCTGTAGTTTTTCTTGTAGTTCAGATGAAAATGATTTAATGGTGGTTTTGAGTTTTAAGGTGAAAAAAGGAGTTGGATCTTCCTCTAATTTTTCACAGTAGGTGATGTCAGAGAATTGTCTATTGGCTTCTTTTATGTAGTCTTCATAGTTAAGGATAACTGTAGCTTCTTCTTTATCTGCTGGTTTTATTACTATTTGGTTGCTAGGTCTTAGAGATTCTATGGCCTTCCTGTCTGAGAGGGAGAGGTTGTTATGGTGGCATTTATTGTTGATTATTTCATGAAAAATTTAACCCCCAAAACCCCCAAAAATCAGATTGGACACATCACAGTGGATGAAATGCAAACCTTGACTGCTATATTGATGGCTTGAGGGAAAGAATGAACAAGGAAATGATCAACAGTAAAAGAGGTCTTCCCAAACCCACTTGTCCTAGCCTTTAAACAAGCACTGAACCTCACAAATCTCATCACCAGAAGCAAACTTTCTATGGCCCAAAACACACAAATGGATCCAGACCATACTGGAACAAGAAATATAAAACCTGACAACACATCTCCACCACTCCCACAATAGCTACATCCCACAACAGAACCATTGCCATTCCTGGATATTACACCTGCACCTACAGAAATGAAATATATCTCTTCCAGTGCACTAAATGCTCTGATGGAAAATATGTGGGAGAAACCAAACAACAACTGTGTACCAGAATAAATGCACATTGAAAATCCATCAAAGACAAAAATACCCAATTACCTGTAGGTGCACACTTCTCACAAGACAACCACTCTCTCTCCAATCTCTCAGTTCTAATCCTCAAAGGGAATTTACAAAACACCTTTTGTAGATGAGCCTACAAACTTCACTTCATAAATCTACTGGATACAAAAAATCATGGGCTAAATATAGGTATTGTATTTATAGCACAATATAACTTGCCTGCCATCTGATAACTGCAGGTAACCTGTCTGCATTTTACCAGCTACATTCTATCACCAGGTCAACATTTCTCCCTTCCTCCCCAGCTACCTGTCTCACACCTATTGTCTCCCATTGCCTCTGATCTTCACTGCCATGCCTTTGCATTTTCACAGACCTGCATTTTGCATATTGGTTTCTATTCCAACCAAAAGAACACAGAACAACAGCAGACTCTTCCTATGCCTGAAGAATGTGTTTTTGCCTGAAAGTTTGCAATGAACAGTTTTTCTAACTATTTAGTTGGTCTAATAAAAGATATCACGTTTACCCAAAGAACCTTGTCTGGCTACTGAAGAGAAACAGTCAAAAGAAAATGTCCTTCTCTTCTTTTTGAGAACACACTTGGTTTTTTGCTGTTGTTCATAACAGTCCTTACCATTTTAATATCAATGTTTCTTCATTCTTGATTTCCTTATGGATGCAGCTTCATTTCTGGGTACGTTTGGGATTGGAAACTGCTAAATCTCCCATTTGGTGTGTGTGTGTTCTTGTATTCCAGAGAGCACTGGAAGGTTTAGCTGGAGTTGAATACCAGCTCCGCATGACCCTCTTTGACATCACATATCGCCATTTTTTTGGGAGAACCTGGAAAAGCAGCACCAGGCCCCTGAAGGATTTCCCAGGACAGCCACCCAGAGCCAGTTTCAATGAGGTAGGACTCAACCAGAAATCACAGATGATCTCAGTATACTCTCTCAGTTGCACAGAGCAATGTGAATGAATATAGATACCTAAAATGCTTGGGACATCAGCTGGATTTAAACCATAGGTTATGTCAAAGAGACAGCCCATGCTGCAGCCCACTCACTGCTTCTGCAATTGTGCTACATGCATTATAACTCCCAGGTGAAACCAACACAGGAGGGGAATCTCCAACATGGCAAAGAAGGATACTTTTGACTCAGCTGGTAGAACCTGCTCCCTGCTTATATATCAGGTAGTGGCATGGGCTCAGAGCCGGCCTTCCATGAACTCTGAAGCTGTACTGGTTATGTTGGGCAGATATTAGAGCAAGTAAATCATGTGTTTCAGAGCATAAGCAGGCCTTTGGTGTCCTGAGATGGCTTGTTTGTGGACGTTAATGTCGATGAAGGGAATGGCAAGCTTGCCCCCTTGCTGGGTGTCTGCATCGGTGTGAATTTAGCCATATGCCAGATATCTAGTATTGTAACAGCAGAGTTCTATTTAGTAATAAGAAAAGTCACTTGAACATATACATCCCTCTAGATTTAGGAAGACCTGGAGATGAATATCTGAAATGAAGTGTTCTAAGCATGACATGAAGCACAGGCATCCAGAGATCAGGCTACTGAATAACCTATTGTAAATAACACCCTGTGCATGCCAATGGCACTGTATAAACTATGAATAATAATAATAGTACTGTATCAGAAGGCTCATGTCTCTGAATGTTAGAGTATAAAAGGGGCTGCTTTTCTCATAAATCACACAGGAATCTGAAAGGGCTCCTTCGGAGTGTAACATTAATCTGCCAGGTGTCATTGAAATGCTAATGGGAGAGCTCTTCTTCCCTTCACAACATAAATCCCATGCACTTTTATTGATATCGCAATAAACAGTTAAGCATCAGCTTCATTTTAGACCAGCCTTTGCTTCCTCAGTGCACGCAGGAGCTTCTGCTGGTCTCTCCCTGTACTGCTTCCTTAGGGTTCAGTAAACAAAGGACAGGTAGGTTGGACTGGGAGGGGAGATGCTGAACACTCTCTGCCCTCCTTTGTATATGAGGCAAAGGGGAGCGGTCTAAGGCAGAGGAGGGCTTTGCAAAATTCATCATGGCTCATTTCTGGTTATGGGTCTGCTTCCCTAGTCTCACCTGCTGTGAATCATAGAGTTTTCCATTCTCAGTATCATTTCTTTTGAGATGAGATGATGGGGTTCAGTTCTATCAGCTTCCATAATTAACACAAGGAGCTGCCTGGGCTACTGCTGGCAGAAGCTGGGAATCTCTAGTTTGTTGCAAGATTCTGTATCAAAATCTCACTTCAAATAAGTAAGTCCTCCTTTTTAACAGACAGAAACCTTGCTAAGCAAGAGAAATTACATCTGGTTCCAGGCAATACAAAAGCACTTTCATCATACAGGATGACCAGAGATTACTGCACAAACTAATGCTTTCCTGGAATACAGCAACTCAGAGTAACTCAGTTATTATGGAGGCATTTAATGAGCTAAAAGCACATAATACAGATGACTAATTAGAGAATGCAGTTACTATGAAATGGAATTATTTTGAGGATAAATCCTAAAAGTAGCAAAATGACACAGGGTAGGACACATGTATGTGTTATATGGTAGATTGGGCTATTTTAAACAACATTGGGTGAAACATTAGGAAACAGAGAAGACTCCTTCACTTGTTTAGTTTGTCTAAAAATCAAGCCATCTCTGATGCTATTTTTTATGGTCTAGTGCTTAAAATGTAGTATGGCCACCATCCCATAGCACCAAGCATTATGCTTGCTAGTTATCTTCTTTCCAGAGGCACTGGAAATCCAGAGCTTTGGTTGTACTCCATGGGAGCTCTGAAAACTTGGTGCTTCTGATTATCAAGCCCTAAATGTTTGCAGGGTCTAGTCTAGTGATACTCTTTCTCCTGTCGTGCATATTTTCTCTATTAAGACTTCTATGGGCAGTTCATTTATCAGCATTCGGATGCCTTTCATCCTTCTGCTAACTATGCTTTCATTCATTTATTTTTATACATTTAGAACAATAGCAATTTTTATAGAATGATGACGAATTGGATATGACCATGATTTGTCTTAGATGTGGTCCATTAGGATGCAGTTACATCTCAATTGTGTTGAATTAGTTTGAATTCCAATTCAGAAGACAGGTCTTTTGTTAATCCCAAATCTGGGTAACGGATATAACTAATGACTAGAAATTTTTTTTTGTTACATGTAGTGCTTGAGATGTGACAGCAGAGGGCAGTGTTACTCTAGGAATGAAGAGGGGTCTTGATGACATCTCAGGCATTGCGCCTTTTTCTTATTACCTTAACATTCATAATTGATTTAAAAAACAGGATTTTGTACAGTTTTAATCAACTAAAGAAAACCTCTTCTCCATCTTATATATGAGAGAAAAGCTTGGGATTTGTGGCAGATTTTTACAGGTGTGTATGGAGTAGCAATCTGATTGTCCTACTCTGAATAATTGTTGCATTTGTGCTAAGATAAAAGGGAAGGAGAAAACAAATCCCTGCATTTTGGACACTGAGCTGAACTAAGATTTAGCCTCTGTGTTCCTAAAGCTTCTAATTTTAACTTTTGTTCAATTTAATGATAAATAAACAGTGTCAAGGGTACAATTCAGCATAGATTCAAAGCCAACTGCATTTATTTATGAGTATATCAGCAGCATTAGACAAGTTATATTATTGGCATATGCATTCCTTCCCTGGGTCTTTTAATAATTAATCAACTAGTGGAGATTTTTTTTTAACTAAAAAGTATAACAGAAGCCAACATCATACAGAACTGAAAGCTACATGAACACTGTTATATGCTGCAAATGCTTTTTGTCAAGATAACCATAAAATAAGTAGCATTTACGAACTGAGCATATATCAAATAACAAATTATGCGTACATGTAAGTTATGTGCAAAATAACTAGTATTAACCCAGACTTAATTTTGCAAGCTCTGATATTCAAGCAATTGATTTCACAGCTGTAAAGTTTTCCCCAGAGCAGAAAGCAAGTGTTATCACATATTCTAGGTACTTTCTAGTTTGCAATAGCAATGCACGTGTAACACAGTATCTTATGGTTCTAGGTATACTCTGCACTAATTTTGAGCAGGAAGACTATGGCTGCACTAAAATCTTGTTAACATTGTGGCCAACATCTTAATTGTTTAATTTTGTCACCCTCAAATGCTTGGTTTCATGTACCCAGATTTGCCTCACTTTTTGGATTTAGTTTTTCAAGTTTTTAGGAGTGGGGGGCATGTAGAAGGGCTATGCACCCTCTCGTGTTTTTACATCATTTGGTGAGCATGTTTTCCAAATCCAGAAGGACAGGAAGTCACTGTTTTCAGAGGCCTGGAATTGAGGACTTGGAAGAGAGTGAAGCAAGCTGTAGTAGAAAGATGGGGTGAGCTCTCTGCTGGTGTGAGTTGTTAGTGCTCCACCATCTGAGGACCAGTCCAAAGGGGTTAATTTATTAACTGCAGAGCTTTCTCCAGTGGCCTTCCCCAAGTGGTTACTGTGTTTTTCTGTGTATAATGAAGACACACAAAAGAAAGTTGTGGGCATAGCAATACAGTGTCACCCAGAGACACTATGGAAGCATCTAGACTAGAGATCCTAGACATGGAAGAAGCCGGGAGCATATTAGTACATCTCTTTGTGATCAGCATAAAGGAAATAGCTGAAACCATAGTAGCTACTGAGGTCACCCAGGGCGCTTGTGTTGCAAGAGAAAAAGGAGGAGACGAATGCTACTGCTCTTGTACTTGTCACTCTTACTGTAAGTCCTTCTATAGCTTTGCCCCTCCTCTGCTTCAACATTTCAGCATTCTGTAGTGTCCATCAGTGACTCCATAAACCAAAAGGGCCAGGTTCAGTGCCTGCTCATCACCTCTGACAAATGGGTCTCATGCATTATAAATGAAGGGAAGAAAATGGAAGCTGTCTGGGAAGCTGAACAAATTACCCATTGTCTTGAGCACCCTGGGTGACCAGAGGCGGCAGCTGTGGGGTTTTGTTCTTTTGTAGCGGTCTAGTTATTGATTGTCCATGTGGTATCCTCTGGAAGAGCAATCTCATTTTTCTGTGTGATTAGTAACAGGCTTAGTGTTCATCTTTGCTTCTTTTCTTAAATTAAAAGCTATATAGACATGTATGACGAGATGCAGAAGGCAAGTAGCATTGCAGGACAAACAATGTGAAAGGAGAAACTGCTGGTTTGACAGGTCACTAATTAATATTGATAAAGTTTGCTGTTTAGGGAGGTTAGGTTGCTTCTTAATACCTCTAATAGCAAATTGGAACAGAATAAAGATTTCTAGAAGGGGATGTGAGCTAATTCATAGCAGGCCATAAGTCTGCACAGAGCTTAAATGAGCTTCTCAGTCAAAAAATGTCATTGAGTGCTTATGGTTGATTATGCTAGTCCTGTTGAAAAATGAAAGTATAGCACACGGGCTAAACATCCTGGGCGCCTATACATGAGTGCCAAGGCTGCTTCGACATGCTGGAATTACAGCATGTTGCAGCAGACTTGATTAATTGAGTCTGCTGGAGCGCGAGCAGTTGCTGTGCTCCAGCAGTCTTCTGCATCTCGTCTATCAGCGTTCCTGTGCTTAAAAATTGTGGTTGGGGTGCTTGAACTAAAGCTCATTGGGCAAGCTTTAGTTCAAGTGCCCGTACTGCCATTTTCAAGCATGGGGATGCTGATACACAAGACATGGCAGCGCCTTAATTAGAGTGGCTCTTGGAGCCTCTCTAATTAAAGCACCGTACATGCTTAAGAGCATGTGTAAAAGTGCTCTTTGTATCTTTCTCTGTGTGTGCACATGTGTGCGTAAGATACAGGCTATAGAATGGAGTTATTTAAATGATTGACAAATCTGATTGTCCAGTCATGGTGCACAACTGTCAAATAGAGATAGTAATGTTGGGCGA